AGGCTGGGTGCAGGGAACAGAAATAACAACCAGAAAAACATTAGAACAGCATGTGCACAAAAATAAGAACAGATCTGCAAAATCATCTGAGATCCCCTTTTCATTCCATTCCTATCCACAACAAAACATTTACGCCTTAGTCACTTACAAAAACTACTTAAAATAGCCTTTCTGCAGAAAAGCTCACAGTCTTCAGAGATACAATGACTTGTTTAGTCTTTYGCCTCCGAGTTATTATAATGGGCCTGGCTCTGCAGCAAGAGACTTGGAAACTGGATAATTCCTTCTCTGTAACGATCTGCTCAATGTTACCACTGTTTTACTGTCTCCCAGCCCACACGTTTCCAGTGGGCTCCGCGGACAACCTACGAGTAACCACTGCAGGCCAGGATCCCCTCCACGCGGAGCGCCGGACTGCGGCCGATCTCCAGCACTTACTTGCAAATCTTTGCTGCCCCTGGGGTGGTAGCGACCCCGTAAAAGTTGAAGGAAACAGGAGCCGTGGCCTTCAAAGGGTTGCGGTGAAACCAGTGGGTCATTTTCCTTCCCTACCGCTGGCTGCGCTAAGCCTGAAGAACAGAAGGAAACGGGTTAGCTCCAGGGGCGGCTAAAGCTGTGCCGCGGCATCGCGAATTGCAAAAATACATTTAGAAGGTAAGCGGGAAAGAAATGAATTTGCAAAGAAATAAAACAATAACTACCAGGAAGCCAGTACTTCCTTAACAATACATAATCAAGCAAAGCTTGGAGCACTGATCTTTCACAGACCCCGCGGCCCGTCTCCGCGGGCGCGGCGGCAGGGCTGGCGCTGTGGAAATTCCCCGTTTCCCGCGGGGGTGCCACGCAGCGGGGCCGCGAACGGCTCCGCGCGGCCGCGGCGGGCCCAGGCCCCGCGGGGCGGCACGGCGCTGTCGAAGGCGCCGAGCGGCCGGGACGCAGCGGACCCGGGGTCTCCTGTATCCCTCTCCTTCCGCTCCCGAGACCGCCGCGCCGCTGCCGTTGCCGTTACCTCCCCGGCGCCGCCGAGCGCCGCGCGCCGCACCAGGCCCGGCCGCCCCCGCCCCGGCCGTCGCCGCTGCGTCACGCGGCGCCCCTCCCTCCACCGCCGCCGGGAGGCAGCGCCAGCCGAGAGCCGATGGCATCGTACTACGGCCGCCCGACCGCATCGAGCCCTCCGGGGGTCCCGGTCCCCAACGCCGCTCCCGCCGTCCTCCCCTTCCCGGCGGTGCCCGGGCGGAGCGGGCCGTGAGCCCGGGCAGGGCTGACATTCCTCCGCCCGGCCCCTGTCCGCCGCGGCGCCGCCCCAGGCCCAGGCAGATGTAGGGAGGCAGGGCCCCGGTCCGTGCGTGGGGTTCCGCGGGGAGCAGGAGGCGCGGGAACGGCGCCACTCACCGGGAGCGGGACGGGGGTTGGGAAGGAACCGGCGCCGCCGCCCGCAGAGAGCGCCCGGAGCCCAGGGCAGCGCCGCGGCCACGTGACGCGGCCGCCATGACACGTGCCGAGGCGGAAGTGGCGTCCGCCTCGGTAGCAA